ATTTGACCAAGTTTATTGAGGCCTGATCTTTTTGAGTGTTTCAGGTCACACATGGCCTTAATAACGAAATAATTCCTGGCTTGATCCCTGACTTCAAAGATGATAGATTCAGTCTTGCTAGAGTACATCCCATTTTCAACCCTTCTCACCTTAATTTATGTCCAATGCCCACCATATCTTTCAAAGTACATGTTTATACTGCGTTGCATTTAGAAATTGTCAAATTTTAAAATTTGCAATCCATACAACACACTGTTGCCTGAATTATCACTATAAAACACAGGCCTTATTTTTTTCTGATGAGAGGACTTCCCAACTCAAAGTCTTCCAAGTAGTTATACCTCTAGCCCTCTTACCGGGGCTGTTACCCCCTGATATATTATAGCTATGATAAATCTCTTTATTGTCCCAACTAGGACACATGAAAGAGAAAAGCAGGCACTATCAATTGTTACAATAGGGCAATGCGTGTGAACCTAGAATTAGAGGCATGCTGACTATAGGCGACTCTGCTTCCCATCATCTAGCACACTGGATTCCTCACCATTCTACAGCCAGGCATATCAGCTACCCTCGTAGTTGTTCTTTCCCGCAGAACAACAATTATTATTCCTTTTTTTTTAAAAATTTTTTTTTAACATTTATTCACTTTTGAGAGACAGAGAATGAGTGGGGAAGGGGCAGAGAGAGAGGGAGACACAGAATCCAAAACAGGCTCCAGGCTCTGAGCTAGCTGTCAGCACAGAGCCCAATGTGGGGCTCTTACCCACAAACTGTGAGATCATGACCTGAGCTGAAGTCGGATGCTTAACTGACTGAGCCACCCAGGCGCCCCAACAATTATTATTCCTAATATTTATGTAACAACTCACTTCATCCTCGCGACTCCATGAAAAAAGTACTCTTATGATTCCAAAGTACTAATGGGAAAACTGAGGCACAAAGAAGTTAGGTAACTCAGCTAGTTAGTGATAGAGCCAGAATTCAAACAAGCACAAGACTGGCTCCAGAGATTGCCTATAAACACTACTTCATACTGTTTTCCTACCGTGTGTTTTCATCTATTTACTCCCTGAATTCCCATTAGGAAGAAGAGCATGACAGGTGGGAGGAGAAGCCTTAAAGTCAGACTCCCTGGGTTCTAGTTTCGGCTTGCCCACCTGCTTGGCCTTGGAGAGTTAATTAATTTTTCTGTGACTCGGTTTATTATTCACTTGTAAAAAATAGATCACTGTAACAACAATTTCAAGGGTCACTGTGATGATTAAATAAGTAGATTCATGTAGAGATGCTAGTTTATGATGAAGAGCTGTCATTAAATGCTATCTCTTCCTCAAAAAACTTTCCTTTTCTCATTGCCATAGCACTTTGCTTTACAGCTGTGAATGCTGGAGAATCACTCACTTGAGAAACACTAAAGAATTTTGATGCAGCCTATATTTAATATCAGCATTTCTGAGGGTGTGGCTGGACATCAGTATTTTTTTTTTAAACTCCTCCAGGTGATTTAAATGTATAGCCAGTGTCGAGAAAACTGTATTAAAACCTTTCTGATGGGAAAAACTCTTTATGCATGTGTTTGTCTCTCTCTACATATTTCTAGCAAGTTGATCGCAGATGCTACGCTGAATTCATTTTTGTATTTCCACTGGCAGCTAGCATGGTGCCTGATATGTAGCTGGCATGAGCAATTATTAATTCCTATGAATTAAGCAGCATTTCCCAAATATGTTCATTGTCACAGGATAAAGGAGAAAAACCTGCCATTAGTAAACTCAGTAAGTATTTTAGAGATTGGCAGGATCTAGGTAAAAAGGATTGGATGAGAAAGTAAAAGCAATACAGCGATAAGATAAAATGCCTAGATGCTAATTTTAAACTAATAGTGTGGAACTTGGCGGTACTTTACAATCAAATCACCTGGGAAGATTTTTACCAAAAAAAAAAAAAATCTGAGTGCCTTTGTTTCCCAGGAGATTCCAATGTGCAATCAAATTTGAGATCTAATGACTGAGATGGATCACATTACACCCAAGATCTCCCTCCCTCTGCCACAAGATCTGAGAGTACACTTCTGTAGTTTTGCCATTAGGGACCACTAATGAAAAGAATACAGAACATCTCCACATCTATGGACACATAGAAGAAATAGGATATCAAGACAGAGAAATATGTATATACTCATGTGCAGACATTCGCATATATACTTAAGTATCTTTTTTAAAAAAAATTATTTTTGAGAGAGAGAGATAGAGAGAGAGGAGGGGGGTAGAGAGAGGGAGACACAGAATCTGAAGTAGGCTCCAGGCTCTGAGCTGTCAACATAAAGCTCAATGCGGGGCTTGAACTCATGAACAATGATATCGTGACCTGAGCCGATACTGGGTACTTAACCAGCTGAGCCACCCAGGTGCCACCATACACTTTAAATATCTTAAGTTATCCTTAAAAATTATGTAGTGAGAGAGAGAATTAGCATCAGTCTATAATAGTATGTTCTCAGACATTATTATTCAGGAGATAATTCTTTTTTGATGAAGAAGTTAAGGAAATACCTTTGCCAACACAGTTACTAAATATGCAAAGTATTTTTAAGAAAAATATTGAATGTGAGTATATAGTGGTCTGGATTGAATTCAGATGATTGTAATTTGTCAACTTGCTTTAGAATTACCAAATCCAGTGTTGCTAAGTACTGGGTACCATTTTTACCATGTTTATTTCAATCACAATTAATTGTCAGGTGGAAGGATTATACATTATTATATTGTTTTGTTCAATGCTCTCTAGTATTTTAACAAATAAGGACAAAAGATTAAAAATACAATATGAGCATATAATGAAAATTTGAATGTTTATCCTATAATGTACAAATCATTAGCATACTGCATATTATTTCAAACTAAAATAAAACCAGTGCTCATACTATATTATTTATCTTTAAATTTTTTTTAATGTTTATTTTTGAGACAGAGAGAGAGCTAGTGGGAGAGGGACAGAGAGAGATGGAGACAAAGAATCTGAAGCAAACTCTAAGCTCTGAGCTGTTTGCACAGAGCCCAATGTGGCACTTGAACCCACAAACCATGAGATCATGACTTGAGCTGCATCCAGATGCCTAACTGACTGAGCCACCCAGGCACCCCTATCTTTTTTTAAATTTTTATAAACCTTCATAACTTGTCACATTATTTATCCAAATATTTTTCCACATAAATGATTCTTAAAGGTATTTCTTTCTCCTTTCTCCGTAAGAGAAAGGAAAACAAGGGAGTTAAACATAATGATTTAATGATACACCATAATAACTTAATTATAATTTTTCATTTATTTTAAAAAATATACAAATAATACATTCCAAATAATACATGTTGGCCTTAAAATAACATCTTTTGGTAGAGAACAACTGTACTCTGTATCAGAAGATGATGTTATTGAATAGGACACTAACAACTATAATGTGTTGGGTGCTTATTATTCACCAGATACATTTTTAGTGCTTCACCTGAATCAATGCATTGAGCTCTCAAAACAGTCCTGTGAAAAAGATACCATATTCATATCCATTTTACAGGTGAGGAAATTGACGCACAAAGCATTTAAATCATTCACCCAAGGCTCAACTAAAAATTAAGGGATCCAAAATTTGAATCTAGGGAAATAAGACCCAGAGCTAGGAGCCAATGGCATTGAATTTAAGCTGATAATCTCCCCCCCCCCCCCCCCCCCCCCCCCCCCCCCCCCCCCCCCCTCCCCCTCCCCCTCCCCCTAGTACTTGACCACAGAGGAATTGTTTGACCTACTGGACTCATCATTTCAGTAGAACCTCTTTCTTTCTTTCTTCCTTTTTTTAAAATTTTTATTTATTTCTAGGAGAGACAGCGTGAGCAGGGGAGGGTCAGAGAGAGAGGGAGTCACAGACTCTGGAATAGGCTCCAGGCTTTGAGCTGGCAGTCAGAACATAGCCCGACGCGGGGCTCGAACCCACGAACCGCGAGATCAAGACCTAAACGAAAGTCGGACGCTTAACCGACTAAACCACCCAGGCGCCCCAGTAGAACCTCTTTCTGAACATAAAAGACCTGGCTACATTTAACAGCCTGTGGCCATTAGGCAATTATCTACAGACACAGAAAGAGGGAAATGTCTAGTGCTTTTGTGATACCATTCTGGCATTTTGGAGTCATGAAGAGAGAAATCTTTAGCTCCTTCACCTTTTTCCTTTGCTCCCCTTTCTGAAGCTTATTCCAAGTTGTCTTGCCTTATTTTAATTAAAAAAAAATACAGTCATAAAAAATATAATAGAGGGATCTGGGTGAAGGCTAGGCTCCAAAATGACTTAAGTGATGGAGATAGAGTACAAAGGAAATATTTGAAGTTAGATAATGCTGATCTGTAAGGAATATTCTTGTCACATTCTTATCACACTATCTATCCATTAAGAACAAATAAAAATAAGTAAAACATTTTTATGTGTGTCAACCTCCCAAAGTCATCTGCAATATATTTTTAAATTTTTATTTAAATTTCAGTAACACAGTATGATATTGGTTTCAGGTGTACAGTTTAGTGATTCAGCACTTAACATACAACACCTGGTGCTCATCACCACGTCAACTGCAGTATTTTCAACCAAAAAAAAAATTAACTATTTCTGGTTATTTTATATTTTCTGTACCCACCAAATACTTTATTTACAATATTTTAGTCCTTATTTAATCTTCCTAAGTGTTCTACTAAGTTATTAAATTATAAACTCAAGGAGAGAAAACATCTTAATTATTGCTGATGTCTTGCAATTCTCAACAGGATGATTTATACATATTACGTGTCCAATAAATATTTTACTGAGTTGAAGTGTAAAGTACTTTTAGGGGTGCTTGAGTGGCTCAGTCAGTTAAACATCCAACCCTTGATCTTGGCTCAGGTCATGATCTTATGGTTCAAGAGATTGAGCCCCATGATGGGTTTCGTGCTGATAGTGCAGAGCCTGCTTGGGATTCTCTATCCCTTCCCTGTGCTTTCTCTCTTTCTCTTTCTCAAAACAAATAAACATTAAAAATAACAAAGTGTTAAACTGTTGTAAAAGACTGCCACGTTCTGAACTTTTATTAAAACAATTGTAATTAAAAATGTGGACCTTGGGTAGAAAGTATCTTCATACTCTGAACTAATTAGAAGCACACATTCTCAAGTTCCGCTCATGGTCTTCTCAATCAAAACCTCTGTGGCAGGGCCTAGAAATCTATATTTAACTAGCTCAATAGGTGATCTTTATCCCTCTAAAGCTAGAGAAAGATTGTTTAACGATATATTTCACATTGACCACTTATTATAAAAGGCAATGCATATCAAATCTGCAGATGACCCCAAAGCTAGGAATGATAACCAACAGAGTATTATTTGAGAAGGAAAAAAAAAATTCTACTAATGACAACAATTGATGTACCTAACAGAATAATATTTAACATGTATAAACATAAGGCCATTATACCTTAACCATGCATTTATTCAACAGCACCTGTACATCAAATATTATTCTGGATAATGGAATGGATACAAATACATTCCCTACCTCCAAGGAGGAAATTTTCGGCTAAAGAGATAGCTATCTACACAAATCATTGGAAACACAGTAAAATAAGTGTGTCAGTTATTAAGCAATTGTCTCTCAGTTTTAACACCTACCCTTGTAATGCTTGGCCTGGGACTCTGCAGACCACATTTCTGGTTTGGCAGCTGGCTCCCTGTTAAACTGTGAGTGGAATGCCAAAGGAAGGTTGGAAGGCTAGAAGAAGGGACGTGCTGTTTCCTCTTTGCTCCCATTGGCTTTCTGTGGCTGTCAGTGTTTCCCTGCTTTGGTATTTCACCCTATAGCGAGGTCTTGTTCCAGTAACAGCAGCTGAATCCAGTTTGCAGGTCTTCCAATACTTCTAGAACCAGCCTCTTCCACATCTCTCCAGAAATATCAAAGCTGGTGGGCTAGTGCCCTCTCCTCAGAGTTCTGAAGTCCAGCTCCTCAAGGTGGCTCTGTTGCGCTGAGAGCTGGCACTGATTCAGAGGCCCCTTATCAAAGCTTCTACGTTGAATTGACTTGCCTCTCTTCTGTTTCTCCAGCCAGCAGGTGGTAGTTTCCTCAAGTAATTGCTACTTCTATGGTGACTTTGTGTTCCACTTTTGCCTTTATTCCTATATCAGCCTCAGGCCTATTAACAATTTATTATATTAAGTTATCCCTGATAGAATAAGTAGTGAGTATTCTGTCTCCCCACTGGACATTGGACAATATACTAAGTGATAGTAGGAGAGTGACTATGAAATGGTTAAGCAGCAAACCCCTAAAAATCAGGGAGTCTGAGTAACTGAATTAGCCCAAGACTCACAGTTGAGTTTTGGGCCAGTTGAGCAAATACTTTCAGTTTTGACCTCAGTTTGGAAATTGCCTTTTTTCCCCCCAAATGTAGAAAGCACCCATATGATAGTCAGTGTATCATAGGTGAAGTAGAGGCAACTATTTGATGTTCTAATACATAAAGGGGAATAAGAGAATAAACAGGTTTATCTTGTGTTTCTTCACAGAGCTAGCCCTGAATGAATGAGACTGGCTGGTTAGCTAAGTTGGTTAGGGTGTGCTGCTAATAAACTTGAACTAACAAGTTGAAGTTAAAAGAAAGACCCTTCTAAAAGTCAACCCTGTCTAAAGATAAAATGGACTTCTGAGGAAAGAGGAAATTCCTTTTTCTAAATGTTCCATGACAGCTTGAGAAACTATTATTTGACACTATTGTATGGAAACATTCTTCAATAAGAAAGATCATTGAATTGATGGCTTATTATGGTAGGGTTCTATGGAAATGGAATTAATGTAATAGTTTCATTATGCCCTTTTCCAGTAAGAAAAATATTTCTTAAAATGCATTGAACAGGCAAGAAGTTAGGTAAGAGAGCAGAATGGACTGAATGTTTACTTTGCCATAAAATTCATATGTTGAAACCTAATCTCTAATGTGATAGTATTAGGAGGTAGGACCTTTGGGAGGTGATTAAGTCATGAGGGTGGCAAGCTCATGAATGAGATTACTGCCCTTAAAAAAGAGATTCCAGAGAAGTCACACACAGCTGTCCTGGAACCAGGAAGTGGGTCCTCATCAGACCCTGAATTTGCTTGTTGCCTCCTTAATCTTGGACTTCTCAGGTTCCAGAACTGTGAGAAATAAACATCTGTTGCTTACAAATCATCTAACCTGTGGTAATTTTTTTAAATAAAATAGTCTGAATAGACGAAGACAGAGAGTAAGGTAAGAAAGAAGGGTTTTGGAACATGTAATTAACTGAAGCTTGCCTTGGTGGTGAAGTTACTGGAACAGGGCAATGTATTAGGAAAGTAATTGTAAAGACTCAGGCAAATAGGCTGGAAGAAATCACTCCTATCCCTGGCCCCTTCAATCCTTGTAATAAGCAAGGTCAAAAACCCCTGCAGCTGAGATTTTGTCCTTGTCTCAGGTTTCAAAGACCCTGTTTGAAATACGCTGTTCCAGAACAGCATGTACACATGAAAAGTGCTTATCTGTGAGATGGTTACATTTTCAATCTTGTTCTTTTTTTAAGTTTGCTAAGATATTTGCAATAAATTTGAAACTTTGTGTTATATTGGAACATGATACAAAATGCTATTGACATTTTTAACAAAAATATTATAAAGTTTTCTACAATATCATCATCAGTCATGACAACAGCACAGCTTACTGGAATACATCTCTCTAAAAATTTACCCAAATCTAATAAATAGACAGCAGCAAGGAATCTTAGTGTTTATGAGATATTAGAAACACATGGATTCCAATTTCTATATAAATTTTATATAAATTATTCTATAAATGATTGAAAAAGAACAATTTTATATAAGATTGGCAAGTATGCTGGGATGAATTAGAAAACCTGCTGAAGGTTTTGACACAGTAATTTTATAGCTTCCAGGTATAAATATAATAGAAAGGGTGGATTCATATTTATGGGAGTTGCATTATTATTATTTTGGTTTATCTGGCCAATCCTAAAATATGGTTATTAAAATGGGAGGGGGGAAATCATATTAACTCTTTGTCTAAGTTATGTCAAATGTACCATTTTTTAGAATACATAGATGTTTAATGTCACCTAGATCCTAATGTTTCGTGAACTAAATGAAATATTTCATATTTCATATTCATATTCATAAATCATTGACACAAACATTTAGTTTTATCAAAATTAGTGTGTATATATGGGGTCAGATTACTTTTATGTGTAAGAAATAATAAAATTCCTATTGAGGCAGGACATAGATATGACAACAACTCCGTTTTTTAAAATTACATTTAGCATTATTTTTTATTATAAAAGTCTTGTCATCCTGACATGCCTTTGCCTGTAGGTGGAGATCTGGTGTGAACAATTACTTGGTTAGATGCACATTTGGCCATGTTGGTCATCCTACCATATTTCATTCCTAATAAAAGATAGAATACAAATACTTTTCCAGACTTCTATAGAGAGCTAACTCATGATAATAAGTGAGGAGCTTTTTAAATCTGCTATGTCAATGGTTAAAGTGTGTCATAACTTGATAAAGTCTGTATGCTTTAGTGAATCTTAAAATGTCTATTCTCTTCAGACAATACAAGTACAATAAAAATGGATTGTTTTTCACTTTTTGATGGGTTTTGATTACAAAAGTATCGAATATGTTTACTTCTCAATGGGAGATCTGGTTTCCATGGGGACCAAACCAACCTCATCTGCTGTTTTGCAGACCATGCTCCGTGTACCACCTCCACTTTGGCAGGACTGGAGAGTGGCTGAACACAGCTACCCTGGCAAATGTACACAGCCTTCAATACAGGTTCTCCTCTTGTTCCACCCCCTTCCGACAGCAGAACCCAGGAGGGGGCTTCAAGGATGTGCAGCTTTCCTCCCACTTTCAAGTTTCATCACTTGTGATGCTCTTTGAAACTGGAACATTCTACATGGTGATGATAAACATCCGCCATGTGTCACAATGTTTCTTCAAGTTAAGTGTCAAATTATCTGGCAATATAAATAGGTGCCTATTTTTTTTTTTTTTTTTTTTGCTGTTGTAATGCCTTCATTACAGATTCAGCACAGATCAATGGTATTTCTTATACAGATTGATCAAATATCTATCACGTACTGACAATCTGCCCTATTTCCTATTTAATATATACATACTACTGATTCATGTGTTCATTATACACTTAATAACAGCTTGCTATCTGTCAAGTATTGTGCTGAGTGCGAGGGGTATAGAGATAAGTAAGACAGAGTTCTTAGTCTCAGAATGCTACTCTCTTATAGCTCAGAATCTAGAGGAGATGAATTACCAGAAGAGGTAGTTGTGAGTCACTGTGATAAGTTTAATGGTTTGATACTTGCCATAGAAGGGACCCCAGTCTCATTCTGCAGCATTAAGGAAGTCAAAGGAAGGCGTCTGAAAGACCTTGCTCAAGGAATGAGTATAAATCAATCAGGTGAAGAAGCAGCGGCTTGAAGCAACAAATGAAAGTAAGAAACTGCAGTTACAGGCTTTGGAGCCAGAATCAATTCTGTGCCTGATGGAAACTTAGGCTGGTAGCAAATGGCAAAAGCATTGAGATGAAGTCTGGTAACTGGCCTTCCTTATGATATGTTAGAAACTGCATTTTTATCCAAAGCCATTGAAGAAATCTAAAGAGTACATTAAGAGGACAACCTGTCAGTTTTGTGGTTTTGAGTAATTATTCTGAAGACTGCATGGGATATGTATTTGAAGAAATGAGATGTTTGAATAAACAAATAGTCATTTATTTTTCTGGGCCAAAACATAGCCTTGATGAATATAGGAATCAAAACCTTTAACATCTAAAATTCAGTATTTTACTAACTGCAATTCATGTGCTGTCATTAAAATAGATGTTACATTTTTATTTATTTCTATTTAGCTCGTAAGAGAGAATAGCTGGAGAATGGCATACTAGCAAGTCTGCTGATCTGTAAGTCTCTGGTATTTCTTGGGTCAGTGGCAGAAACTGAGCCAATGCACAATTGATACAGAGAGTCCAGAACATTCTCAAAATTTGAGCTTTCTAGTAGATGACCAAAAATATAGAGTGTTTTCCACTATTATAAATAGAAATAGAAATGTAGGGAAAAAAAGTAGCAGGATGGAAACCTCAAGCTTTGAAGGAACTCAGAGATTATTAGTTCAATTCCTGTATTTTATAGAATGTAACTAGAAACCAACAGGGTGTAAATAATTTAATCTAAATCAAGCAGGGATCCACATTGCTTTTTGTTCAGAGTGCTCTCCACACATATGAGTTATATGCTTTATGTGGTCCTATCCCAAGAATCAATGGTTTTTGTTTTGAAGACAGTGTTCCATTTTAATAGATTCAAGATAAAATGTTAGCAGATGAGTCTGAAACATTCTGACTCCTCTCAAGTTGGAGTTAATACATTTGAAATAACTACATTTTTTCTACTACCTTATTCCTGTTACCTTTCTACATTCCGTTATTATTAGCTTATTGCAAGTTCAGAATTCTATTTAATAAATATGTACTGATGACCCAGATGAAGATAGTCTCCCTTTTCTAGAGGAAGGTATAGACAAGTAGTGTAATCATATATTATTAAAACAACTTAAAATTTATTCCTCAGGAAATGTACTTTAGACCACTCTTCTAGTCATTTACAGCGAGGTTTTTTAATAATGCAAGTAACAATGCAAGCAGAACTATTAACTTAAAAACGAAGCCATTCATTAGGAGAATAAAAAAAAAAACCATGATGGGTGAAAATATTAGGTTTCTTGAAAACTAAAAAATAGTTGATAAAATGAAAACCAGAGATCCTGAATTGTTCAAGAAAGAAACTTAAGAAGTGTTTTGGCAAATGTTGTTAGAATATTAAATGAAAAGGTAAAGCATTTGTCTTTCATCTGAAATAGTAATAACCATTATTCAATATTTCGAGTTACAAAATGTGTGGACATTTGTGTATGTGTGGGTGCCATTCAGTTCAGTCTTGGGTAATTGAAATGGCTAAATAACACCCATATGGTAAACAGCTTGGTACGCCCAGTATAAAGGAAAAGGTGTTGGCAGTGAATCTGTGAAGAAGGCATTATTATTTTCACTCATAGAGGTGATGTAAGTATCTAGCTTCAGGGTTTTATTTCTTTTCTCTAGTTTCCCCCCACCCCTGCCTTCTTTTCTTTCTTTTTTGTTAATATGTTAGGCCCTGGCTAGGTTTTCATAGAATGAAACATTTTTCAATACTAAATGTTCAGGTCTACCCCCCTTTCTCAAATTAGTTGGCTTGGAGGGTGATGGAAGACAACCTAAATATTTAGTTTAATGTATCGAGAATCATTAGCATTATAGAAGAAATAAAAAAAAAAAACATAAAATCTGATTTCTATCTGACAAAATTTTCCATTCTTTGTAGGGCATCATGACATACGTGAAGCAAAGATAATTCGATAATAGTAGTTATCATATTAACTGTTAACATATTATGAATATTTATTATCTGTCAGGGCCCCTTTTAGTAATTTCCATATACTGTTGAATAGATTGTACTGCATTCCCATAATAAGTCTATGAAATTAGCATTATGATTATGCTAATTTTGCAGATGTGAAAATTGGAGAACAGAGAGTTTAAGTAACTTTAAATCTAAGCAATCTTGCTTCCCAGCTTGTAACTACAATGGTATGCCTTTATGTAGTAGGATAACAATGTTTTTTATGTTTTGTTCAACACTGCACAAGCTGTGGGATTAGGAAAGACATTAGAGACCATGATGTTTGTGACAGGCATGAAGAAGAGCTCAGAACTTGGAGTTAGGATGATGCAGTTTCAAATCTTCATTCGGCCAGTTGTGTGAAATATATAGCTTCTTCCGTAAGCCTCACTTCATCTATAAAATGACCACCTCACTCCCCTCATAATGTTGTTTTGAGGATTAAAGGAGATTATACATGCAATGGACTTAGCTAATAGCAGCCATGTGGTATGCTTTCAGTAAAGGTGGACTGCTATTTTTTTTTTCAAGCACAGCTTTGGTGTCTAAAGAGAATACACTGTGACAGACCAATTATCTTCAGTTAAGCAGAAGGAAATTTCATGTATCAAATAATTTTTGAGGATTTTCCTTCTGAAGTAAAAGATGAATGTTAAAATTTTCATGTTTTGTTTCATTTTGGAATTCAAGTGTACATGTACTTAATTCTGGTACAATGTAATAATTTCAATTATAAATTTCTGAGGCTAGAGACTTCAGACTGAAGTTTATCAAAAATAAACAGTGAAGGGGCGCCTGGGTGGCTTAGTCGGTTTTGTGTCTGACTTTCGCTTAGGTCATGATTTCGCCGTTCGTGGGTTTGAGCCCCGCGTCGAGCTATGTGCTGACTGCCAGCTCAGAGCCTGGAGCCTATTTCAGAGTCTGTGACTCCCTCTCTCTCTGACCCTCCCCTGTTCACGCTGTCTCTCTCTCTCCTAGAAATAAATAAAAGATAAAAAAAAATAAACAGCGAATTATTTATGTTATATAAAGCAATGTTTTTGAACACATATCCTCAGACTACTAACATGAGGGGCTATAAATATTAAACCTATGTGATATCTGTAACTCGTTTCAAGTGTTTACATGGAACTTATTTGACTCTTCAATGAAACTTTTTTCTTTTTTTTTTATTTTAAATGTTTTATTTATTTCTAGGAGAGAGAGAGAGACAGTGTGAGCAGGGGAGGGTCAGAGAGAGAGGGAGACACAGACTCTGAAACAGGCTCCAGNTCAGAGAGAGAGGGAGACACAGACTCTGAAACAGGCTCCAGGCTCTGAGCTGGCAGTCAGCACAGAGCCCGACGCGGGGCTCGAACCCACGAACCGTGAGATCATGACCTGAGCGAAAGTCGGACGCTCAACCGACTAAGCCACCTGGGCACCCCTCTTCAATGAAACTTTTTTTTCAATTACATGTCCATCCTAGAAGAGTTACTTAATCATTTCCCTGTGAAAGAAAATGCTTATGTTTTACTTTTATATACTCAGAATCAAAACTTCAAAAATCTCACAGAAAGTTGAGCTTACCTCTCCATTTTTAACATGTTTTGAAACATAACATCCCTAAAATAATACACCTTTGGAGATGAATAATATTCATTATTGAAAACTACTTAAATCACATGACATAATAACATCTTTAAAACATTGTCTTATATTTTTAATGCATTTTAGACATTTTAAGAAAGGACATTTAGGGTGCAACAGGTAATAATGTCTGTAATACAGGAATAACTTCTAAAATGTAATAAAGAATTAAGCATTATATTTAATGGGAATAGTCTGTCATAGTCAATCTGAACATGAACCATCTCTAAAAAGAGAGTTCATAAATATGTTAATAAAATAAAAAAATTGAAAGTAGGGCCAATGCATTGCCTAAACAGAAAAAAATAAAACATTCCATTTTTGCCTTATTAGAGTATAGGTTTTTTAATGCATTTTACATTTACAGAAAATAAGCTATCACTATCTAAACTAAACATTTAAACTATCTAAACTATATTTAGACTTGAATATTTACCTGTAAAAAGTCTAAATTCTGGGGCTTTCAGAATCCTCTCCCTTTCAACATTGATTTGGAAGCTTCAAATAAGTTGTAGTATCAAGTCTGTGAAAACAAGGAAATTACCAATATTTTTTAAGTAATCTTTTGGATGCATAGAGTAGCAGCCTAGGTTTGGTTTGAGAAAGCTGGATCCCATGTGTCTTGTTTTCAGTATTTATCACTGGGGTAGACGAGCCTCACCTTGAAATGTGGGCCAAATAGTCTCTTCACTCAGTGAGCAGAGAGGCTATGTGGCAGGGTTGAAATCAATATTTACACATGGCCTGTGAAATCAAATTGATTTGAAGTTTTCCCTTCATGATATTAGCAATGGTAAAGACTGATTTATCAAGCTCCATAACCACTTGGAATTCATGAATTTCAAATTAAAATTTGAGTCTTATGTAGTAAATAACTATGTTTGGATTACTATGAAGTTCTCAGTCTGGGGTGCACGGAAGGACTTCAGGGGACCAAGAGCCAAGGACCACGGCAAGATTCTCTTCTTTTTCATGCGTATGTGCTTTTTTCCTATGACAAGAGCCTTTAGCTTTCATTACATTCTTAAAGAGATCCATGAACACAAAAAGGTAAGGATCACTACATTGATTGAGGGAAAAGGAATTCTAAATATCCAACACACATTTTAAAGTGGCTTGGAAGAATTGGCCTAAATTTAAATTTTGTGTGTCAAAAGAAAAAAAAAGATCGTTTTGTAGAGGTTCTCTAAATAGTATTCTGTAGAGGCCCTGATAAGTTGATCTGGGAACTATTCTTATTTTGTGGATAATCTAATACTGAGAAGACTATGCCTGAAAATCTGAAATACATATATGGGGATAAGAGAGAGTAATAAAGTTGTGGACATTTATAGAGTTAAGTATTAGGCACCAGACACTGAATTAGGCACATGCAGACATGTGTGTACAGGGATGTCAAGCATCACTCAGCACTTAGCACATGATTTTCACTTCACAGTTTAAAAATGAAAAGCATAAAGGTTAGAAGCATGATCAAGTTAACACAGGTGTTAAGAGGGAGACCTGAGGTTCCTACCCACGTCTGACTGGACTGCACTATATCCGATATATCATTGTTTTAGTTTTTCTGTGCTTAAAATAAATCTTAGTGTTCTTTAGGTAGAGAGTGTCAGGGATTTCGTTTTTAACAATTTATAGAGGCTATGTTTGGTGCCTAGAACAAAATAAGAAACTCAGTAAATATTTGTAAAAATAAATGCATCTAGCTCAAAGTACCATTTAACTAATAAAGATATGAGACCAAAGGAGAAAAAATATTTTCTTAAAGGCTACTCGCCTAGTTAATGGCAAAAGGCACAAAAATTCTATATATCCTGTATCCTAGATAAAGATTTTGTTTACCACATCTGAGTGGTAAAGCTCATTCCAGAATACTCTATTTCTGAATCAGTACTGGCTGTCTGAAGTAGATAACTTTTCTTTTTCTCTCCCTATAGCTGGGAATACAAAGAGATTGCTTTAAATAATCACATCTGAGTGTCAGCTAACACTCTATGCTTAAGTTTTCACTCTGTCCTTAAAAAGAATTTACCCTTGAATATATATGGGTTTCTTGAACTGATTTATTTTTTTAATTTTAATTTTTTTTCTGTCTCTCTGATCTATAATGGACCTTATAAGTCTTCCCATCCTGTTTTGTAAGTTCCTCTTCACTAGATCTCTAGCAACTAAAATGGAACATGTCCCAGGCTGAACTCTTCAGGGCTGCCTTCATGGGAGTATGATTTGTGCTAGCCATGGAGTCCAGTGCTTGGTTTAATGTTCTGCTGTTGCTGTCTTGAAATTCTTAATAAAATTTCATTTTGAAATTACATTGTTGGTCTTACTCTTTATTCTCCTTTTGCCAATGAATACAAATTTGTTCTTCTTGGAGTGCCTGGGTGGCTCAGTCAGTTAAGCATCCGACTCCTGATTTTGGCTCAGGTCGTGATCTCACAGTTTTGTGGGTTCTAGCCCTGCATTGGGCTCTATGCTGATGGCACAGAGCCTGCTTGGGATTCTTTCTCTCTCTCCTTCTTTCTCTGTCCCTCCCTTGCTTATGCTCTGTTTCTCTCAAAAATAAATAAAGTTAAAAAATTAAAATGTGTTCTTTTTATATTTTCTATTTTTGAAGGACACCTCCAATATCTAGGTCACCAGGTAATGCTGGATACAATAATTTATCTTCAACTTTACTTCCCCCTGATCACCTCCACATCCGATTATTGTCTAAATCTTAACAATTCTAACCTAACAAAGAGTCTTATGATGAATCCTTCTTTTCTTTTGCCATCACATTCAATAGAAAGAATCCTACCTTAGCAAAACTTAGTCTTGATTTGAAATCGGGTCTCTGCTATTTATTATTGGTTATGTCCTTCAGCAAGTCAATTTCTTGAATTTCTATTTTCTCATCTATAAACTAGGAAAAATGAAACTGCATATTTAAGAACTAGAAATATAATTTGATAAGTACTTAATATAGTGCCAATTTTTTAGACAGTCTCATAAGACACTTAATTTTAATTCTCTTCTAACTTCTAACATGACTTTATCTTGAGATCAGTTATCAATGTATATTTCTGAGATACATATTTTATCTACAGATTACTTATTCAATTCGTTCATTCATATGAGTTGAGTAATCATTCATTCATATTAACATTTTAAAATGTTCCTCCCGAAACTAAAAACAAAAAAAGTATCCCTAAATTTATTGATAACTTTGTTATCGAGAAATGAAGTGTATGTTTCCTCCTTTTGAATCTGGAAAGGTAGGGAAAGCTTCAACCAATAGAATGGAAATACATCATATGATTTATGAGGCTGGATCATAAAAGGGCATGCAGCTTCCAATTTGTTTTCTGGAACTCTTACTTCTGGAGCCCTGATACACCCTGTAAAAAGTCCAACAATCCAAGTGCCAGCATACTGTGAGGAAGCCAAGCCACATGGAAATGCCACACATGGACACCCAGTCACAGTCCTATTCTTAAAATTGTCCTGTCCAGGCATCATATAAGTAAATGAACAGCCTCCAGATGATGCCAGACCCCAGTTATGAAATCATCCTAGCCTTCACAACCTCTCAAATGAGACTCCAGATATGGTGGAGCAGGAACAATCCACCTCCTCTGTGTTCTGTCTGAATTCCTGAGCTACAAAATCAAGCATAATGAAATGGTTCTTTTAAGCTGTAACTAAAGTTTAGATTCATGTGTTATATGACAATTGTAACTGGAACAATTCCAAACGGGGGCGGGGGGAGAGAAAGAAAAAAAGGAAAGGAAAGGAAAAGAAATCCCATGTATTGTATATGCCCCCCCCACCCCCACTTTCCTTCCTTCCAGCCTTATGTCCAACAGCTCCTTGTTCTGTGGAATCATCCCAACCCTTTGGCAATTTCCCTTATTTATACTGCTGTTGCTTATTGGAAAGCTCTTCCTTATTTTCTTCACTCTATTAAGACTCAGTTTTGCACTATTAACGTGCTACTTTATTATTTAATCCTTCAGTCTCTCTTGCTATATAGTGTATTCTTCTCAATTCTGATAGAACTTTTTATAAATTTTTAAAAATTATTTATTTTACTTGAAAGAGAGAGAGAGAGAGAGAGAGAGAGAGAGAATGTGCACATATACATGCAGGAATGGAGGGGGACAGGGGCAGAGGGGAAGCAAGAGAGAATCCCAAGCATGGAGTCCAATGCGGTTGATCTCATGATCCTGGGATCATGACCTGAGCTGAAATCAAATTGGTTGCTCAATTGCCTGAGCCATCCAGGCACCCCTGAATTCTGATAGAACTTTTTAACCTCACTTTGATATTTTAAACATTCACCAAATATAATTGTTCTTGTTTGTGTGCACACTGAATTTTTACTAAGACAGAACTTACATGTGATTTAATACCTCGCCTACAATAAATAATTCTTTGTAGGTGTTCCATGCTTTGTTAATAACCCAGCATAAATTAGAGTTGAGGCATTGAGGTGCTTGTAGTCCTGAAAAGTTATTAGCAGTTACAATATATATGAAAGTCAAAATTCTCCTCTTGACTATTACCATGTTACTTCCTTTGTCCTTTTATATTCCCTTGTATATCACTGATTGTTCTCTGCACAAATATTTATTTTATAATCATATATTAATTAGTTTGTGAGTCACCATTAACCTCAACTCCATTTTGTCCTTATGCTGTTATTCTCCCAAGGATTCTCTAGCTTAGAACAAGAGTTGATTTGACCACCTACACCACCTGACATCAATGAGATACAATCATCATCAAGATTTTACATAATGAAAACACTATAAACAGGACCACATACGCCCCAAAGACATATTCTCTGAGGTATATATTACACTTTAAAATCTGAGTTTTACTTTATTTTTAATACTACTTATTCCCTTCCTTTAAAAAATATTGAAAGGAACAGAAATTAGTGTAATTTTAAAAAATTACTTATATTTTAGTTACTGTAAGTTTTTCTCCCCTTCCTTAAATGACCTACATTTGGCTTTAGGAAGAAAGGATAAAAGAGAAGGAAATTTGCATTTACTGTATATGCCAGATATTGATGAGCAAAATCATATTAGTTTATTTGCTTATTGTATTCTTTTAACATAAATTTCCTTCAGTTGAAAGAAAGGAGATTCTTAGATAATATCAGATGTGTTTGTGTCTAAACAAAATATATCAAATACCATTCAAACAGCTGATTCAGTCTATGTGTATTATGCAAAAGGTCGGCTAAATGTATGGATTTGATAACCCCATAATTACTGAGAGATACACAACGCCAAGAAAGAAGTCATATAACTAATGTGGGATTAGGCCCTGAACAAAAATCCTTGATATTTTCAGACATCCTGCAGCTCTCTGAATTCCCATCATGTTTTTAATCATAATTGCTTCCCTACCACCCATCTGGGCTGCTATCAACAGAGCCTTATGACTTCCAGGGAAGAATAAATAGGGAGACAAGTGAATTCCTTGGAAGCTCCAATTCTGCGTTAGTGCAGATTTCTACATAATAAAATAATGGAGTGAAGCATTTAAAAAAAGATTCAACTGAAGCAAGTATCTTTAAATAGATTATTTTCCACAAGGAATCAGTGGGTGCTAATGTTCCCTTGTTGGCTATAAAATCACTGGGGGAGAAATAACAATTATGGCAATCACAGCATAGTTTAACCCTACGAACTTAGAGACAAAGAAAAAATGAAAAAAACTTTTAAAAGATCATCTTTAAGAAGGCAACACAATTAAGGTGGCCATTCACAGGAGGTTTCCAGCCACTTCACTCTCTCTCCAGAAGGGGCTCTATAGCATCTATGGATACCCTTGAAGGCATAACAATATGCGTTTCTGTTCATGGATTTTAGGGATTGAATATGTTATTAATCAAAAGAGTCGCTGTAGTTTCATTGCTTCTGGAATCTCCTGGGGCATTGTATACAGCTGCATTCAAAGAAAATGAACTGTTATAAACTTGATCATATTCATCCCTTGGGCTCATCTGATTACAAAATTGCCCAATGAGCTGTTACAGTGCTTTCAACTAATTAGTTAACCCATACATTGTGTTTCCTTTCTTATTTTTTTCTTTTTCTTCTTCTTCTCCTTTTTTTTTTTTTTTGGCCTGTATTTTACATATTTACTCTTTCTCTAACAAGGTATCTCAGTGTTTGTTCTGCTGTCAAAACCCTCAAATTACATCACTAATATATACTTTTTCTCCTATCATTTTTAATGTAAGGAAAACAAACAGCACACATTTCCTTTGCCATGTTATTGATTTTAAATCAGAGACATTAAAGACAATTCAGGAACTCAGAAGCTACATTTGACTCTCAGCTCATACAATTTCCTAAATCAGTGGGTGAAGATTCAAGGGTCTTTCTCAATGTAGATATACTCAAAAAAAGAAACAGATATTGGGGTTCCTGGGTGGTTCAGTTGGTCAAGCGACCAACTCTTGGTTTCGGCTTAGGTCATGACCTCACGGTTTGTGAGTTTGAGCCCAGTCTCAGGCTCTGTGCTGATAGCTCAGAGGCTGCTTAGGTTCTTGTTCACTCTCTCTTTCTCTGCCCTTTCTCTGCTCCTGCTCTCTCTCTCTCAAAATAAACAAATATTTAAAAAAAGAAACTGATACGTTTTCAGTAAAAGAGATAGTCATATAGAGGAATAAATTGAATTCTTCAGAAAGTATATTTCTGCCCAGAGAGGACTCCATCCTAACCTAAAGGGAAATTTCACAATATCCAAATCCCTTGATGTCCTGCAAATAAAGGAAGTGGATGTCCTCAAATTTCTAATTTTTTTTTATTAAAGATTTATTTATTTTTTAGAGAGATTGTAAGCGAGGAAGGGGCAGAGAGGGGGACAGAAAATCTGAAGCAGGCTCTGCACTGACAGCATCTGAGCCAGATGTGGGGTTCGAATTCACAAACCATGAGATCGTGACCTGAGCTGAAGTTGGACCCTCAACCGACTGGGCCACCCAGGTGCCCTTGTCCTCATATTCCCTGTAGCAGGATCCCACCTGGATGGCACCAACCTTGACTTCCAAATGGAACAAGCACATCTACGGAAGGAAAAGTGACATTTATGGATGTCATAAATCTGAAGAGAACCTGGGAGAAGCTGGTGCTAGCAGCTCATGCCATGGTTAGTTAAAAACTCAGCCGGCGTCAGTGTATAACAACCTCCAGGAATACTGGCCTGCGAGTCGTGCTGAAGTAGTCTGCTGCCCCCGAGCCACGCTCCTTGCTGGCTGCTTCACTTCCGGAACCTTCACTAACCGCATCCACTTCCGAAAGCAGAGACGTCCCGTGGTTACGGAGTCCGGGGCTGACCACCAGCTTTTCACAGAGGCGTCTTACATGAACCTGCCTACAATTGCTCGGTATAACACAGGCTGTCCTCTGTGTTATGCGGACACTGCCACCTCATACAGCAACAGATGCGTTCACTGAGCGAATCTGACGAGCGGGAAGCAGGCCCGGGAAGTTCTGCGCATGCGTGGCCCCATCTTCTACGAGCGGCCACCGGAGGTCATGCCTGGGGTCTACTTCGGCAGAGATACTGAGGGGGTGGGGAAAAAAAAAAATAGAAGAGCAAGCCTCTGTTGAAAAGGCTGTGGTCAAGGAGGAATTTCAGGGTGAACGGACCAGTTCCTAGGTTCTCAGCTGACGTAATCCGAGGTTGGCGGCTGGCGTGTAAGGAACGCAGGTGTCCGCTGCGCCTCTTCAGCGGTTCCCCGCGGAAGGCTGGAGCGTTCGGCCCGTCCCTGAGACTGGCCTTCAGCTCCGCCGTGCAGGCTACTCAGTAGGGAAGAGCAACCACTGGTGGTCTTAAACTGCTTCTCCACAGACTTTAGAGCAGAAAATGGACATGAGGGTGATGAAAAAGAAGCAGTTTCTTAAAAAAAAAAAAAGAAAAAAGAAAAAAGGAATCAACAAACGCAAATGTTATGGACAGAATGAGTCCGCCTTCATATGTTGAAGCTCTATGTCCGTGATGTGACTGTGTTTGGACACGGCCCTTAGGGAGGTAATTAAGGTTAAATGAGGTCATCAGGGTGGAGTCCTTGTCCCATTGGGCTGGCATTCTTATAAAAAGAGGAAGAGACACCAGAGCTCTCAGTCCCTTCCCACAAGAACAAAGAGAAGACGCCATCTGCAAGCCAGGAATAGAACCCTCACCAGAAACCAACCCCGATGACACTTGATCTGGGACTTCCGACCTCCAGAACTGTGAGAAAATTAATTTCTGTTGTTTAAGTCATCCAGTATGTGGTATTTTCTTGTCAGCCCTAGCAGAGTGATAGAGCAGTAGGGGTGAGGGGTAGAAGAAAAATATATACAGTTAACCCTTGAAAAACTTGGATTTGAGCTGCATGAGTCATCTTACAGTATGGAGATATTCTTTTGATAAATACAGTGGAGTACTGTAAATGTATTTTCTCTTCCTTAGGATTTTCTTTTTAAAGTTTTTTTTTTTGAGAGAGAGAGAGTTGGGGGGAGGGGCAGGGAGAGAGGGAGAGAGAATCTCAAGCAGGCTCCACAGTCAGAAGCAGAACCTGATGTGGGGCCCAAACTCACAAACTGTAAGATCATGATCTGAGCTGAAATCAAGAGTCTGACACCTGACTGAGCCACCCATGCAACTCTCTTTCTTATGATTTCTTAATGACATTTTCTTTTGTCTAGCCTACTTTATTGTAACACCACAGCGTATTTTGTAGGTAAAAAATGTGCTAATTGACTGTTACTAGTAAGACTTCTGGTCAACAAGGCTGTTAGTAGTTATGTTTTTTGGAGAGTCCAAAGTTATATCAGATTTTTGAAGGCATGTTGGGGGAGTGCTGGTGTCCCTAACCCCTGTGTTGTTCAAAGGACAACTCTAGGTTCAAAATAAGTGAATAAAAGTGAAGTAAGAGCCAATAAGTCTTATAAAAATTATATTCTTGCCAAGATAATAATAAGAGCAGAGTGCTACATATTACTGTTTCAAACAAATATGCAGTAAAACCAGAGGGTTGTGCTATTTTCATGCCACAGAATTTTTCAGAACCCAGTATACCTCTCGGGTGTCTTTTACCGGCCTAAAAATGACACCCTCTTTTTCTTTAGTGTGCTTTGATTGAGAGTCTAATGGAAAGTGTGCTATGTAAAGCAGTTTAGATATCAAATAATTTAAATTATGGAAATCATGTTTGTAAAGTTCCCAAATGGTGATTATCATTGGCGTAATTCAGTGGGTACCTCAGCATTCCATTTCTTAGTTATATTTGTGTAACCCAAGTGTCCCCAAGCCCCCTCATCTTTTCCTTGACTAGACGTAAATCTCGTTTCATGGGAGATGCAATACCCATCAGTGTTGTGGAAGACACCTTAAGAGAAAGGCTGTTTGCTTTCCATGACTTCTCTACTACTTAGGATTCTTGGTTCTCTTTCACCATCTCATTTCCTTCAGCTGTTCTTCTCTTTGCATGTGACTCCAGGTGCTGCCATAAATGGGCAGTGGCCATTCTTTCTATACTCACCAAAGTCAGTCTAACTTGAAAGTTTGTACAAAACAGAATTTTTACTGAAAATCTGGAAATAATAGAGGGAAAATATCACCAAGAGGAAAAAAACATCCAATCAGATATTTTTTGTTGGCTACACTTGTATAAGGGAATTTTCACTTGACCTACCTCAAATAGTTGGATGGTTTTTGCAAGTTCTTCCTTCTCCCATCCCCTTTCCAAGTCTTACAGTATTTTATTTGTACATCCAGAAAACAATTCCATAATACCAATTATTTTGTTATACAGAGCAATTTAGTTCTTACTTTGCTTTATTAACTTTGCTGTGAAGCATATTTTTAAAATTGTTCAGTAAAATTACCTTTTTGTGTACTGTTATTATTTTTAACAAACATTTGTGTGACTGCTACCAGGATCAGAATACAGAACAGTTCTACCACCCTTTTGCAGACATACCTTTCCCCATTCCGAATCCCTAGGAATTGATCTGTTCTCCATCACTACAGCTTTTTGAGAATGTCATGTACATGGAATCATAGAATATGTAATTTTTTGAGGCTGTTTTCTTTTACTCAGTGTAATGTCTTGAAATTTATCCAAGTTGTTGCATATATCAGTAGTTATAGCCTTTTTATTACTGAATAATATTCCATTGTATGGATTTACTGCAGTTTATTTATCAGCTTATGTGCTGAAGGACATTTGAGTTGTTTCCAGTGTTAAGTGGTTATAAACAGAATGACTTTAAAATTTTGTGTAGAGGGTTTTGTATGCATATAAGTTTTTAGTTTTCTCAGTTAAATACTCCAGTAGTAGGACTGGTAGGTTACATGGTAAGTGTATGTTTAACTTAAAACAAAAGCAAAACCTGCCAAAGTGTTTTCCAAAGTGGCTGTACTATTTTTGCATTCCTACCAGCTATATAGGAAAGTTTTCATTATCTGCATCCTCAACAGTACTTAGTATTATCAGAATATTTTCAGCTATTCTAATAGGTATGTGGTGGTATCTTTTCAGGGTTAAAATTTGTATCTCCCTAATTGCTAATGATGTTAAACATTTTTTTTCATGTGGTTATTAGCCATCCTTGTATCCTTGTTGGTGGAGTATCTGTTCAAATTTTAAATTTGTTCATTTTTAAATTACGTTGTTTGCTTTTGGAGTGAGTTTTGAGAGTTCTTTATATGTTAAAATGTGTCCTATCTACAATAATTTCTGGAGATTAATATTTAAAGGACAGTGTTCTGATATTTTCTCCCATTTTTATTTTTTTATTTTTTTGGTAATTTCAGACTCAACAGCAATATCCTTCTTCTTTGCCAAGCTTAAAATCTGTACCTATGCTCTTCATCCCTTTCCTTGCTCTGCCTCTATCATGCTCCTTTAATTATGGCTTTTCACTTTAGAGTTTTCAAAACCTCTTCTTGCATGATCCATTTTTTTTCTTTAATGGTAAAGTCTTTATATCTAATTTAAAAAACTAATTCATGATTCTTTTCTAAATTACCATCTCCCTGCTTCCCATCACTGCTATGCTTCTTGAAAAATGTTCTGTATTTGCTACTGTCTTCTACCAAATTTATGCAACCCAAACTCTGCGTTCATTATCATTCTGGAAATGGTCTTTGAGTAATCACCAATGATCAGTAGTTTTGTCTACTAGTGGCCTCCTTCTGTTTATTTACCTCTGTGCAGCACATGGCATTTTTGCCCCCCACTTCTTTCTAGATAATGAAAATAACACAAAGTAATCACTGTGGTCACTGAGAAAAGGTAAAAGTCAATATATATTTTTGGAAGCAGAATCCTTTGTATGTGTTCAGGGGAAAAAGAATTTTTATAGGAAAATTCAGGCAAAAAAGGATGCAGAAATGCTCAGAATTTAGCATATGCACATAATTTAACTGGGCATATTTATATTATTATATGAATACAAAAGGCATTTGTATTCATAGCATCTTTTTTCATTTTAATTCACTTGTTCTACCATATTGAAATATATGAATTTAGTTTACTAATGTAATCTTTCAGCATTCTGTTTTTCTGATTTGTAAAATGGAGATAAAAATAAGCTAACCCAAAACTTTGTCAATATCATGTGAGATGATGAATGTATTTAGTAGACTACCTGTAATATAGAAAGAAGTAATAGGTTAACTATTTATTTTATTTTCCCATATTCTCTAATTCATTTCAAAATGAATTTTAAAGACAAAACAATTCACTCAGCTTGAATCATCATTCAGAATTAATACTGGCAACCTATAGAAGAAATTTTTGGAGTTTTGGACACAGTTTTTTCTTTTTAATTGTGAATGTCTGAACATAGATGCTGTATATATGCCTTTTACTTAATCTGGGTGAGCAATTTCTGTGTCTGCAGAGAACCTCTACACAAGCCAGATTTGTATAGTTGAACCAAGTTAATGAGAATTCTATCCTATGAATGCACTTGTACTGATGGGGAATCATGAAGTAGTTCAAACATGACTTTGAGTGCTAGTTAACAGAAAGATAGTACAAAATACTTCTGTTTATTTATCTTTCTTAAAAATTAGTTACTTGTAACAAATTATTACATACGTTTGTGCATATAGTTCGGTTCCCAAGATTTCTTTAATGCTTTTTTTCCATTAGTTCTATAAAGCACTCTATGTTAATCTCTTAGGGAATT